CTTCCTCGCTCTGCCCGTGGCGATGGCAAAAGCTGATCCCACATGCTCCCTCTCAACCCCACGAGTTCATAATACGCAAAGCTACTCTGGTAAATAAGGCACGAACTGGCGCAGTAATGTCACAAAGAGTTACAACACCACACCACCCAGGGCTGGTGTTTTAAGTTTTCAGACATAAGACTTAGCCCTAAAAGGCACTGAAAGTATTAAAAAAAAAAAAAAAAAAAAGTATTACCATGGCAGTACGTTGTACTGCTCGGTCTTTACCCAGAGCAGCACTTTGATGAACAAACTTGTGATGACAGGAGCCGTGCCGGTAACCGGCTGCCTGACACTCATCTGCCAGGGGGCTGCGGGGGAACTGGAGCGGCAGGCGGCAGACAGCGTAACGCTTCCACCTACTCCCGGCGAGCCTTGCACAGCGTAATAGCCAGCCCGAACACTCGAGGCTCGCGTCCCAAAACAGTCTGGGTCCCTTACGCCCATCAGGCAATTCTCCAAGCCCTTGAGATCATCTCTGCGCTTTAGAGAAATGAAGAGAAATACCTCGATGTCAAGCGGAAGAGGAGAATGTCACTGTCACGCGGGCAGAGCAAAAACGCAAGACCACATCAGAGACATCAGTGAGCATGCGACTCGAGGTCCCCAAGGCAGCACCGTCAAAGACTTTATTTCTATGCTAAATAATGCTCAAATACAGAGTTCTGTAACTGCACTTATTTGCACACTACTGAGCAGTACTTGAGCCTGAGATTTGTAAAAAGTTGATGCTAGATATCACACTGGGAAATGGGGCGATTCTGCCTTGCCCCTCAAGAGCCTGAGCACATGAAGCAATTACCTCTGGTTTTTTCTACCATAGAAATTCCAGGCTTCTCCCAACAGAGAACATAAATATAGAATACTGTCAGAAACAAAAGCTCTAGGTAGCATTTTACATTTCCGATACTTAACTTTTTCTTCTTTCTCGTACTGTGTCATTAAGTGTTTACAAGGATGATTAATGACTGCGGCTGCCAACTCCATTAACGAAAGGCATCTCTGCTCAAAGCTGCAATCCTGCTTTTGGCAAGCGCCACGCAGAGACAAGGTTACTCCGACACCCTTCAGCCCCTGCACCCACCCGCACCGCTGAGAGCACCGGGGCCTGGGAAGCTCCCGGTTCCCAGATAACCAGGTCACTTGACAAGACACAGGATGCATTTCCTGCTGCCCAAAGTGATTAGCGGTTAACGAGCCAGCGACCTTTGCCACCTCTATTAACAGACAGACACCGGGCAAAGCGGGAGGTCAGCCGAGGAGGGACGCACGGACACCTGCTCTGCCCGGCAGCGCTTTGGGACCATCAGCCCCACTCCCCACGGAAGGGACCTGAGACCCAGCACTCCCGAAATCCACGTTTGGTGTGCACCGCCAGCGTGTCAAGCAAGCTACAAGCAGCACCACGCTATGGGAAGTCTTTGCTCCACCCAATCACTAAAACCAGGACCAGATCCGTACTACACAAACACTAAACCAGTTTGAAGTGAACGGTAACCAAAACCCAAGAGCAAGGAACTCCCTCGCATGCAGAGAGCGCTGCAGAACTTCCTGGCAATTAACCGATTTGTCCTAACATGAGAAATCCTATGAAAATCCCCTTTCTATCCTCCCCCTGAGCAAGAGAAACAAGCACACACACACTTTGTCACAGGGATCTCAAAAACTGTAAATCTGTAATTAAATTGCTTGGCTAAACTTATGATTTTGTATCTCTGGTTAAAAAAAAAAAAATGAATGAGAAGGAACACTTCCCTCACTAGGAAATATAAAACCACTATAAACTTGATTTAAGACAAGGTGACATCTTGATATGGAAATATATTTCCATCAAACATTTCAGTTAAAACGGCATAATCTGCTGGAAAGCAAACATCCCGATATCGTGTTCTAGGCATTTTTAAATGCTCCATTTCTCTTGTTGCTCATAGGGTTCTTTTACTAAGTGCAAGTCACCAACAACCTATGCCGCTCTCAGAGGATATTGTTTCTCCATCCCAATTACCCAATCCAGAGCAACTGATCCCCATTTTCCTCAATCTGCAGACGAAAGCACTCAGAAAAAGTTATTTGTGGCATTCCCATGGTGATGCCCTGGTAGAGGAAAGAACAAACCCCAGCTGCTCCCTGACCCCCGTGAACGCGTCGGCAGCGTCTCATTTGCAGATGCAAGGGAACCATCAGCAGATGGAGCCTACGCGCCAGCACCCAACGCGCGCCCTTGATGCCGCCTACCAGCCCCAGTGGCTGACGGTACGTTTGCACTTTATTTCCAGCACCCGCAGACATGCACAGGGGCCACGTTTATGTGTCACTGAAATATCCCCGTACAAAGGAGCAGGAAAAGCAATGCTTAAGGCTTTCGAGAAGTAGCCAGGTCGTAGCTGGGTTAGGAGGGCCGGCCCTGAACGCACCCCACACCAGTTCCCACACCAGTTCCCACTGCACTCGCACTCAGGAACAGCCTATGGCCAGACCGGACACCCGTGTTTGTCCGAACACGGACGAGTCTGAGGGAGGACAGCAATGTCATGGACATACTCGGAGCTGTTAAGCTACTTTATGCATTTTATTTCTTTTATATCTTTTACTAAGCCTCCCTATCGGTGAGATGGCTCACAAGCAGTACTGGCGACTTTAGATTCTGGCAGTACCACTGTATATAATGCATCATTCTCTTCTATATATCAGAACTCATGCCCTCACCAGCATAGACAGAACGCCTGTGTACTCAGATGACAAAACATATTCCCTTAGGTATGACTCTGAAGGGTAGCCCAGCTAATGCTGTTATTCAATTATACCCCAAGAAAAATTCAAGTTTTATAACAGTGAACAGAATTAAACTTCCAGGTGGGGGTGGGGAAGGAAATAAAATCTGTAAGCTAAGCTGCCTCCTCCCCCGTAATTAACACAAATTTTCCAAGACTTCATCTAGGCATAAGATTCTGCCTTTTTCTTTTTTTCTCTGAGCTAACGAGGCCAAAAATCTCTGGCCACAAGAAAAGCTCTTCCTTTTAAATAATGCAGTAGGGAAACTGGAACCGACACACCACGTACGCTGACAGGGACGGCACCAGCAATAACCCACAGACAGAACCAGCTCCCTGTCCCTGCTGCGCGGCAGCCACAGTGACAGATTTCGGAGGAGAGAGAGATATAAATGAGTGTGACAAACTTGACATTCAAAGAGACAGAAGTGGGTTGGCTTTTTTACCTACTAGCTGACGATTTGTGGTTATTAGCAAACAATCCATCCAGAATTAAGGTACGAGACAAGCCCACACCAGCAGCGTGCTGGCAAGCACCATCAAACCCATTCACTTCCCCCTCTCCAAAACACGGACACGTCCTTCAGAAGGAAGGCTATGCTCCCAAATTCCTCTTCTAGCCTAATACACCTTGCAAGCACCTACGCTTTCCCATTTGTATCATGCTTATGAATCATAAAGATTTTCAGCCGCATGATTAACTTCGGTTGCCACATTCTGCACCCGGGGAGGCCACAGACACCAAACATTGTTCAAACAGAAAAGCTGAAAGCCTGCACATGTAAATGTATACACAAGGCTCCAGAGGCAACAGAGATGCTGAGAAAAGCGACTGAAAACCAACAAGCTTTTTCCAACCCCAAGGAGCATCATTCTGCCACAAACCCGTGCAGAGAGCTTGCGTTCTCAACCATCTTTGTCAAAACATCATCTCTTCGAGCCCCTGGAATTGCTACTCCTACATGCCCTGTTCCCATTAGTATAAACACTATCACAGAATAAATTGCAACCCACGTTTTCTACAATTTACATTTCAATTCCAATGACCCAAGACAAAACCAGCCACACAAAAAAAGCCAATGCCAGCAACCTCCCACAGGACCCGATTAACTCTGTCAGTGCTTTGTATGGCAAAGATAGTTGCTTGGCTTTAACCTTCAGACAAAAGAAGGAAGGGGGGTGAAGGACTCCAACTTTGAAAAATATACACAAAGTGACCCATATTTGATTCTGCACTCAGCAAATATACCCACGGACTGATCCATGCGCGGTTCTGCGCTCAGCTTGCCACTTGGCGGTTGTTAAACTCCAGAGTGCAGTTTTTGTTAACACGTTTAGAAGTTACAAATGACTGATTAGAGGGACAAGAACAGTCAGCTTGTAACAGGCAGATACTGAGTGGAGTCTTACAGGCAATTTCTCAAAGGCAATTGTTTGTATCATTAAATGATTCCCACAAATATGGCAAAGGTACTGTAAGACTGCGCTCCTAAAAGCTAGAACTATACTGTGGGTATGGCCGTGTAACTTCCAGCCTTGCTGCCCAGAAGGAATGAAGGCAAGGGACTGCAGGCCTCTTTGGCTCGTTCTTCAACTTTACCTTGCCCCACCAGACACCCCAATTTCAAATACTTCTGTTTCATTTCAGTGAGCCCAACCATGAGGCGCTAACAGGAGACAGGCAAACTAGCACATTCGGAGCAACAGGATTTCAGTGTGAAAGGCCCCGTTCTGTGTGTCCCCTGTTCTTAACAAGATTCCTCAGGCAGGGGTCAGCCAGTTATTTCTCGGGACCCCATTTGTCTGGAAAGAACATGCGCTGGTTTTTTGTTCGGCAGTCTTTACACGTAGTAAGACAACATTTGTTTAATGTGGTACCAAAACACCGATCTAATCTTAAGCAATTTTGAAACATGTCAGTAAGATGATGCAGGATTTGACTCCGAGGCAAGCGACATACACACACACAAGCAATAGACTCCCACTACACTAGCAGTCAGCACCCGTGTTCTCCTTCCAGTCTAGTCTAAAAGCTCACTTTCAACACATATTAGGACTTTATTATTTAAACAACAGGTTCCAGAGCCAGGGAATTTATAATCAGTAACTTGCAAGGCAGGCTCTCAAAAAATAACCCATAAGCATCAAGTATGCTGACACGTTTAAAGAATAAATAAGAGATTTAACTACCTCATTAGTGTTCCAGCGGTGCCTCTCTTTCGGTAAACTTGAACATTTTGGTAGACATTCAAGCAGCTTCTTCGGTAAAAAGATTTTTACATGACTGCCATTGCTGTTCCCATGATCATCTAGGAAGAAGAGGAGACAAGTGATGTATACACAGGAGAATAGGTGGTTTCCACTAGGAGACCCGAGCTACGACACGACTCGGAAACCCACCAGTTCCCTTGTCAAAGAGCAGGCGATTTGTCATTGCAAAGAAGAATACGGCTTTCTGTTGAAATTGCACCTTTATTTCAGAAATATAAATACAGTTTAATTCCTTGTGGTTGCAAAGTTTGAGAAGAGCTCTGGTGGAACTGCGCACAAGGAGCCTGCGTGTGTGCTTACCTGTGTCTATTTTAGCTTATTATTTCCCTCGGTGACAAATTTTACAAGCAATAGTGACAAAACGTTATAGAAGCTGTGACCACAGCAGTATGACCTGCCAGGAAAGTCGTAAATGAAGTTCACACTTGACAGGATTTGCAAGTAAATAAGCACAGAGCCCCAGCACCTGCTATAATTTTGTCAAGCTGCAGCAGAAATGCAACTCAGGGTCTATTAGTTCATTTAAAACTAAAAAGCGCTGTACCTGACTGAAAACAGATTACTTCTCCTTCCACGGACAGCTTAAGAAGGGAACATAGTTCCTCGATGTGAGAGTGAGCTAGAGGGATGGAAATCTCCTACCCCACCATACCTGGGGGCCTCAAAGGCAGAAATAATGAAGAATACACAATTATTCTTTTTTGTTGCTAAACGTGTAGAAGGTGCATTGATCCCCCTTAAAAAGACAACAAAAAAAAAAAAAAAGATATCAAAAAAAACCCCAAAGCCCAACAACAGCCCCCAGAAGTCCCGGAAGCATTAACTTGATTGTGTCTGTCCAACAACACCTAAAGGATCAGAGCATTTGCGAGCAGTGTGTGACTATAAACCAAACCAGTCCCCACAAGAAAGGGAGCCGGAGCAGCAGGATGAGGCATCCCAGCCACAGCACAGGAGTTTTGCTCGCTCTCCTTCCAAAACCTCCCCATCTCTGCCTCTTCCACTGTCCTCTCGCTTCACGTGGCAGATACTGGGCAGCGGTATACGAGAAGTACACTGGCATTTTACCCTGCAAAATTAATTTCTAGTCATTTCCCCTTTGGAAATGTACAGAAAAAGGATATTCACTTTTTCCTTTTACATAGCTCATCATTTTATGTCATTAAACAGATGCCAGCATCATGATAGAAACTCCTCTGTAATCATGTACGATGCAGAAATCTCCCATGACCTGCAGCAAACCAGAGAGAACCCGTCCCGCAAATGTTTTAGAAAGCGGGCCGAGAGCGCAAAGCAGCAGCTAGACATCCCAGTATTTTCAAAGCTTGATTATACTCTTGGATGTGTCAAGTTCAACAATATACACGCTGTTAAATCAACTACTCGTGCGAGCACAGCAGATGAGTTTACAAGATAAGCAGCGATGTGTATGATAAACGTGAGCTGCTCTATAATTTATGAGTCCTGTGCACTCCCCTGAGTTATTGGGAACTTCACGGCACAACCACCTCAGACTAAATCAACAGGGTTGCCAGTTCGTACTTCGTCCTGGGCGAACAAG